TTTTAGTTCTACTAATTTTTTAGCGTGCTAATTAAACAAAGGACACGCGGCAGCTTTAAGACCTCGCATAAATTCGCATTTGTCTGGCAGCAGGCGCGGCAATGGGCAGGAGGCGGAAAGGAGGGGGCCATGGCCATGCCCAGATCTTAGCTAATGACTTGAGCTATCATCGATCAAGAGCGCATTTCAATAGCTCTAGCATGCGGTCGCATGCCACAACAAATTTTTTCTATTAATTCGGCATTAAAATCCATTTTCAATTTTTGATTTTATTTTTATTTTTTTCAATTATCATTCGATTGAATTGAATCTCATTGAATTGAATTGGACGCGGCAGCGGGCGATTATTGATCAATTTTGGCTGGAAAAATTACAACGTTGACCATTAAATTATTAACTTGGCCAAAAACCCGCTGAGCCAGCTGCCCCACATGTGGCAGCCTCATTAAAGCAGCTCCGCTCCATTCCACTCGAAGCTTGCGAACTGAAGTTCGCGTCGCGCCTCCTTAGTTCAATTATAAAGCAATTGAATTAGTGTTTGGATCGGGCAAGTGCCTGTTCCGTCACCCTGCCCCGCTCTGATCTCTCTTGAATCCAAGTCCATCAATCAATCAGCCACATCCAATCATTATGTAAGCGAGGCTGCCAATTCCCTGCCAATGCCTTCTCATGTATTGCCCTCTCTTTCTGACACTCTTCTTCTTCTTTTTTTGCCAAATGCGTGAGTTTCAGTTTTGATTTCTTCCTCTTTCTTCTTCTGGTTGAGCTAATTAGATGAAGTGTGCGGCGTGATGTGCAAATTGTTTTGTCCATTTGGATGGTGTCTTGTGAGTGAATTTGGGTTAATAGTTAATTGGGTTAACATGATGTTGGGATTGATTATGAAATGCCAGAGGGAGAGGCAGTGATAGAAGGAGAGAGAGAGAGAGAGAAAGAGGGTGAGTTGGAGCAAAAGAGAGAAAGGAAATACATGAGGGTGTGAGAGAGAAAAGAAAGTCTTCTGAATTGAATTGTGAAACATCTCAGGAAATGCTAGAGTGAGTGTATGTGGAAGAAAGAGAGTGAGAGAGATAGAAAATTAGATAGAAAGGGATAGAGAAAGAAAGATGAGTGAGAGAAATGGGCTTAAAGAAAGAGTTAAGGAGAGATAGAGAACGCATGAAAGAGAGAGAGACAGATAGCTGAGAGACAGAAATGTCCTATCTCATATTAAGGATAAATCAGAAATATCTTTCAGCAGCTGCCCTTAGCCACAATCTGAAAAGTGAAAGAAATCTGACGTCCCATGAAAATGAACTTTGCTTTCTTGGCACAAGTCAAATACGTGCCCCCATAATTATGTAGCTCTTCACAGCTTATAAACGAGCAAGCCAGAAAACCAGAAATATTAACCCCTAGTTCAAGTATTGCGTGTCGCGGCCTTATAAAAAACAAAATGAGGAGAAACAAAAGCAACGGGAAAAAGGTAAAAAAAAAAACATTCGCCCACCTTTCAGCCACATATCCGGCACGCGTCGCACACAGGAACATAAACTTCATTGTCGACAAAATGCGTAATTATATCGGGTTCATCATGAGATAGCGGGTCCAAAAGTCAGGCGGTCATTAAAACAACCCCGGGCTGTCGGACACGAAAACAATTTTGTGGCACAGTTTTAACACCTCTTTGGCCCGAAACACGCGCCGACTGCAAACAGTTTGCACAACGGCCCAAACCAACTGTAACCAACATCGGGAAATGTATGTGAAAGAAGCGAGAAATGGGCACAAATGTGATACGAGTCGATGGGTAGGCTGGAAGGGGGGGAGAAGAGAGTGAGAGAAATAGGCGAAGAGCTATGCATTTTTATATTCATTTCCATTTCGTTTTTCCGTTTTATACATTATATTAATGAAATGGGGTATGATGTGTTCAGGGCAACGTATGTATGTGACTGGCAGAAGGAAGTCAAAGTCTGAGAAGTCCTTTGAAATTTATGAATGGAAAGTATTTGAAGATGATCTCAAATTGAGACGATATAGCCAAGGATGAGTAGAGGGAAGTAGCTAGGACTCTATAGTGTCTATAGAGAATAGGTCTATTTGATCATATAAGTTTTTAGAATTCTATGAATGAGAAGTGCTCTAAGCTAATCTAAGTTGGGACTTAGTATAAGAGGTCTATATCCTATTGTAAAGACGAATTGAAGGTGAGTAAGAGGAAAGAGGTAAGAGTATATTCAGTATTGAGTTATTTGAGTTATTTGATCAACGAAATTCTAGGATGTTGCTCGTTCAGTTCATATGGATAACTGAACGAGATGTGCTGATCTAAGATTGTCACTCTTTATATAAGATATCAGACCAATATCCTACGATAAGTTAAATTATTTATTGAATTTTCTTCACAAAACTTTTACTGAGACTAGGTGCTTGAAGACATATTCTAAGCTTGAAGACATATTCTGATAGGTATAGCCCTACAGGGTATTTGCGAGTCGAGCACTTCTCTCTCTCTCACTTATTATTTTTATGTATTTTGAGTCATCATTCGCTGACTGCGCTCCGCTGTCTGCGCGAGGACACGCGACCGAGCGCATAATTTAATTTTCAAGGGTTCCGCGTTCGGCGTTCGGCGAGGGTTGCTCCAGGGTTGTCAGCCCTTCGGTGGACATGCGTGTGACATATGGTTAATGAAAACGTTAACTGATGACCTGTGGCACTGTGGACTGTGGCACTGTGGCCTGTGGCCCTGTGGCAGGGCGCTGCAGCAAGCATACGTTACGTACATTATCATTAATTAGCGGGCATTAGGTGCCCCCGGCGAGTGTGATAAATGCTTCGCTTTCGAGTTTAGTTTCGAGCTGACATGCAACAGTCATAGAGATGCCAAACATCTGATAGAGACCAATAGCTATGGCCCATAGCTTCGCTGTGCCGATTTGCCAACGTGTGTCCAACGTCCAACGCATCTTTCAGGCTGTGGGCTTTTAATGCTCGCCCATGTGCAGATCGCAGATCGGATCCACTCAGCCGAAGGTTCTTCGAGGCGACAATTGCTGCAGTTGCTGCGGTCGCATGTAATTGCTCTTTGTTTGCCATTTGATGTCATGTTCTTGGGCTCTGCATGTGTAGGCCGACAGTTGACTTGCCTGCTCGTTCTGCTCCCAATGATTGTGCAACACGCAATTGCCAATTGCTGTTGCTGTTGCTGTTGTTGTTGCTGTTGCTGGTGTTGCTATTGCTGTTGCTGTTGCAATTGTTGCAGTTGTCGTTGCTTCTTTCATTTTGCGCTGATTTGCCGCCAGCATTTGCATGGAAATAACGCGTGCTCTTGGCTTTGTTTATTGCCACTTCTCAGCCAGCAACACCAACACCAACACCAACACCAACAGCAACACCAACAGCAACATTGGCGACGCGTTGCGTTTATTTTAGCCATATTGCGGCAAATTATTGCGGCTCCTTTTGCCAATCCAACGGATGTGCGCAATTTAGTCAACTAACTGTTGGATTGTCAACTAGCTCTATGCCAAAAAATAACAACAACAACAACAACAACAACTGTTGCTGCGGCTGCTGCTGTTGGTGAAATTTATGTTTAGGCCATGTCCGCTGCAAACTGTAAATAATAGTTGAAAATGGAGTACACCAGGGCGGGAATTACATATATTAGGGGCATGTTATTCTCTCTGATTGAGGATGCAACATATAAACAAGGAACACGTTGGCATAATTGTTAACTTGTTTATGTCTGCATGTAATGGCATGCAAGCATGTGCATGTGAGTGTGTAGATGATATATGTGTTGTATGACTAAGTGCATGATTGATTGTTATATAAGTACTACGAGAAACAGAGAGAAAGACAAAGAAAGTGACGGGAGAGAGAGAGAGAGATAGAAATAAAGAAGGGAACAGCGGTAAAGTCATACAGGAGAAATATCTATCTCTCCCTCTGTGTTCTTCTTTATTTCTATCTCTCTTTCTCTCTCTCTTTCTCTATCTTCCACTCTTTTAGCTCTTATCTATCTGTCTGAGAGAGAGAGATAGAAATAAAGAAGAGGACAGTGATAGTCATACAGGAGAAATATCTATCTCTCCCTCTGATTTCTTCTTTATTTCTATCTCTCTTTCTCTCTCTCTCTCTCTCTCTCTCTCTCTATCTTCCACACTTTTAGTTCTTATCTGTCTCTCTGAGAGAGAGAGAGAGAGAGAGAGAGAGAGAGAGAAATAAAGAAGAGAGCAGTGATAGAGTCATACAGGAGAAATATCTATACAGTAGAAATATCTATCTCTCCCTCTGTTTTCGTCTTTATTTATATTTCTCTCTCTATCTTCCACACTTTTAGTTCTTATCTGTCATCACTTTTTCATTTCTTTCGCTCTCTCTCACTCTCCCTCTTAACATCAATTATTCTCTCTCCTAACTAGAAATTCGTAAGAAATCATCACAGCCCACCTACTTCATAAGAATTGCTCTCCATATTGAGCACCAGCTCACATATTATCCATTATGAAGTTGCCCTCTACGATTCTGGCACTGATGATGCTTTCAGGCTACTTCAGCCTGCAACGGCGTTCGGTGGCAATCAATTTAATTGAGATTGATAGTCGGGCCACTTCCGTTTCATTACACATTACATTCCGCAGAGAAGAATTGTCTCGCCTGGCTGATAGTTGGCTGCTGATAAGCCCTCGATGCCGCCTGCGTGGGCACAGGTTGCCAAATGGCAGCCAGCGGAGGGACGGAGGGGCGGAGGGGCTGTGCATCGCAGAGATCGGAGCCTGAAGATTTATGAGCCGTGTTATTCCGAGTAACTCACACGTCGCAGCGGCCTCCGAGCCGCAGCAGTGCGTAGTGCGTCTCTTCACATTAGCAGTGCATTGATTTTTGTCACTTGGGCAGGCGATTGGCATCGGGTGCGCGTGCCAGCCAATTAATCATGCGTAGACAGACGAGGAGCATGTGGAGAGATCGAAGAGCTGGCAACTGGGTAAATGATTGAAAAGTCGAAGGGATCGTTGTGGGGGCGCTTGGCTCTGGTCGATTTATTGAACATAAGACCTACGTGAGCTAACCAGCTCAATCAGCTAACGTCTAAAGAACAGAAATCGTATGATGCGAAACAGCTTCCGGATGCCCTGACTAGGATTGCGCCGGGTCAGCTGGGCCAGCGACGGCGACTCCAGCAGCGCGATGCGTATGAAGACCGACAGCAGACGCAGCGTCTGCGCATCATCCGTCTGCACCTCCCCACTGTGGCTGGCCAACGCCCTGGAGTTCCTGTGCGCCTCCAGCTGCAGCCAGGTGCGCGGATCATGCCGCTGATCCAGCGGCACCACCACTGCGTTCATCCTCGCCTGTCGTGCCGGCTGTGCGGCGCGCGTTCCATGAGAGCGCCGGCGAACGGGTCGACTGCTCGCTGACCTCGGCTCAGCTCTGGGCTCGGCTCCGGGCTGGGCTGGGGAAGCGTCCTCGCGTTGCAAACGCAAGCGCTCACTGCGTCTGGGCGGCATTGCTCTAACAACTGAAAGCATCAATTTAAACATTTTTCACGTCAATGATATTTTACGTATTATACACGTTATATATTTTGTTTTTATATGTGTATATATCTGAATATATAAATTAATATTTCTTACTTTTCACAGCTGTTTTTTTTTTTTTTTTTTTTTTTTTTGTTAAAATTATTTTAGTTTTTCTACTTTTTCAGCAGCTGCAGCAGTTGCTCTCGAGACTCTCCTTGCGAATAGACTTTTGATTTTTAAGCAAAGGCAAAGGGCAGAGCCTCCTGGGCATTTAATTTTTGGGCTGGCATTGACAGATTCAATTGACAATCCTGTTCGTTATCGATTTAGTGTTGCTTTCGATAGGACGAATACATAAACTAAGCCGACTGAGTAAGCTTTCAGCAAATGATTTTGAAAGCCTGTACAAAATTCTTATTGTATATTTTATGCAGCACTACTCCTTATATAAATATGAACTACTTTTCTTATGAGCAATAATACTACAATTTTTATAAATATATAGAGTACTCTTTCTTGAATTTCTAATAGACTATTTTTATATTCATGTGCACATCTATTTTTATTAGCTTTCAAAACTACTCTTTTCATGAATTACGCTACAATTTTTACGAATATATTTACTACTGTCTTATAAACATATAGAAAACTATTTTCATGAACATATGCATTACTATTTTTATGAACAATCATATTACTGTTTTCATGAATATGCAAACTAATATTTCATGAACATACAGGACACTACTTTTTTTTTTTAGCAATTATACTACTATTTTCATTAACATATACACTAATATTTACAATCACTTTTACTACTATTTTCATAATCTTACCCACTACTATTTATATGAGCACAACATCAAATATTTCATATCTAGATTTCAGCTAGCAATCACTGCCTTTCATTATTCATCGATTGAATAATTTTTAATTTTATATTATTATATACTTAATTATTTTCCCCTACAAACTTAATATTAGAAATTGTTTCTTGTGAACTACGACTTGCATATATCTCAAAGTTACGACTTGCATATATTTTAATATTTAGCAAAATTTAAAGTTTTACTTGCAGTTGGTCTTGGCTTTTGTGGTTTGTAATGAGATTTGGCTGAAAGGCCACAAGCTTATGCATAAGCGGTCATTATTTTGTCAGGCACGACTTGACGCTTTGACAAAGTAACTGTAGATTTTGGCTGGCCGGCAGCCAATTGGCCTATTGAGCCTTTTGCGCCTGATTATAATGCTTATTATTATGCCAACACAGCTGCGAACCATTTGTTGTCGCTCTCGTCGTTGTTGTTGCCGCTTGTGTTGTTGTTGTTGTTGTCGCTGTTGTAGGTGTTCAATTAAATATGCAAACAGCTTCAAATGTGTCTCGACTTGACCGAGTTCAAAGTCAAATTGGCAGCAGCCAAGCTCGCTGCATTTATCTCCATCGCTGCCTGCCTTTTAGCCCATGCATATTTCGATATCGAAAAGTTCATTGCCAAATGCAGCAGCAGCAGCAGTCGCCACTGGGTCGGCCGGATCGGTCGGTCGATCAACTGCAGCTGGGATTGAGTCACACGCCGTCTAGCAGCGGCAACAACCCCAACCTCCAATTGCCGGCTGTTGTCTGTCCGACGTCCGAGGTCCGAGCACGGCTCCACGTTCAAATTGTGGGCGGCCACGGATCTAATGGGTTTTTAGCATACCCTACGCTTGGCCATCGGGTCGCTAGACTGCTGTGAAAGAGTGACGGAACATGCTGGATTTATTGTCAAGGATATGAATTGTTGAACATTAAAAACAAAAACAAAAACTATAAATGGGAAAAATATATGATTTGCATATTTCTTTATTTTTATTATTGTTATTGGATTTCTAATAATCTTCTGGATAGTTTGAGAAACTGATACAGAAATATTTTACAAATATAAAAATATTTTATTTTAAGTCAACTTTCGATGTCACTGAGAACTATTCCATCCACTCCCTAGACTCGCCCCACAAAAAATATATTTCCAAAAACGAAATCCTTATTCATATGCAAGTGTATTTCGAATTCGGCTTGACGATATTTCACTTATCTCTGACTTATTCAATTCTGTACCTATTTTTCGTTATAAAATTCTAGCCATATCGTTTTCATTTTGATTTTGATTTAATTTACGGTTCTCGGCTCGCTGCGGACACCTTGAATAATGTGTGCCTATTTATAAATATGAATTACGACTGTTGCTACAACAGATTAGAGCCGCGTATCCATTGGTCCGCACTGCATTTTTAATTGCTAATTAATTTAACCCAACACACACACAAACACAGAGAAACGAAAAACAATAATGCCAGCAGATAAGCAACTTTTTTTTTTTTTTTTTCAATTATACAAACACCTGGTTTCTACTCCAGTTTAATGTGGACATTTTTCCTATTATAAATATAATTAAATTAAGCTTAAGTACATACAGACTGCGCATGTGTGTGTTTGTGTGTGTGTGTGTGATATGGTTAGCAGTCAGTGACGTTGCGTGGGCGAGTTGACAAATGTTGAAAACTATCGCGGTCCTGCTTGCCAAGCTCCGATTCCGCATCCGACTCCAGCTTCAGCTTCAGTTCGAGCCGGAGTGTCTGTCTGTCTGTCGCCGTGGCTCACATTAAACAGCAATTAAGCTTAATTATAGTTGTCGCCGTTTTTAGTCAGCGTTGTTTATGTGCAGCGTGTATGCAAAGCAGTTGCTTGCAACACGCGTCCAACTGCACCGCCTCTTGCCGACTCCTGCCAGGCCCCACCCCCGCCCCCGCCGTAGTTCGTCGTGTTGTCTGGGCCAGTTAGCATTTGGCGAGAGGAGTTCCTGTTTACGGTTTTTTGTTGCTGTTGTTGTTGTTGCAGTTTTTGGCTTTCGACTGCGCCCCTCTGTCAGTCTGACAGGCGACACACACACACGAGACAACAACACACGATACGACACGGCCACAACACGACACGACGAGTGCGTCCCCCCCATTTGCTAATGGGCGCTTTTGTATGTTTCGCCTGGCTTAAAATGGATGAACCCGCTGCTGCTGCCTCTATCTGTGTGTGAGTGTGTGTGTGTGTGTGTGTGTGGGTTAGCCATGCAGCTATTGCTGTGGGTGTTTGCTGAGCCACAGCTGGACGCAGTCTGCCAGCCAGACGGCAAGCTGAGCCGCCAGCCTGCCTGAAAGTAAAAGTTGTTGCGGAAGCTTAAGAAGTTGGCCAAACAGTGAAATAATCAATAACAAAAGAATCTCTAAAGAAAATTGAGTGGACCTATAGAACAGAATATAAAATCATCCATTTATAATGTCTGCTACTTATACTCTATAGCTGTCTCTAAACTTTGGAAAGGTACGAATAGGTGTATATATTGTCAAGCATATGTTCCATATTTCCATAAAAGTTGTCGTTGGGTTGATTCGACTCGCATATTCCATAGCTGAAGTCTAGATCGAAACGGATTCGAAACGGGCAACGAGTTCTAATGAAGTCATTCGAGCATGGGCAACATATATGATTTATGTATATCAAGTAGACAAAAGAATAACAATACGGTCAAACAGATACCCCATGTGAAGGCATGAAGTACCCTTAGGCTATTGGAATTATATTGCAATGGGTGATATGATATAAAAGTTAGGCTGAATAAGAACAATTGAAAAGACATAAAAATAAAACGTGTGCTTAAACTGCAAGAGACTTTGGATGGAGCGAAGGAAAAAGTGAGCGAGGGAGAGAGAGAGATGGAAGGAACGCAAATGAGGGAGAGAGTTAGAGGTAAAAGAGAGTGAGAGAGCGAATGAAGAGAGAGAGAGAGAGAGTTACACAGAAAGATGTAAGATATTCAGAAAGAGAACCAGAGAATGTAGAGAAAGGACAGACATAGAGGGAAAATAAGAACGTGAGAGAGAGAGAGAGAGACAGAGAGACACACAGAGAGAGAGAGAGAGGAAATGAGAACGGGAGATAGAAAGAGAGGGAGAGAGTGAAAGATAGATAGCGAAAATAGAGGGAGATTAAGAAAGAGAAAATAGAAGTTAGGAAAATGAAAGGTTAATGTAAAGTGAACTTTATAGAAGATCCTATAGATTATAGAGCTCTGACTCAAGTCAATAAAAAAAATAATTGCTCTAATTTATTCTTACATTAACATCTGAGCTTATAGCTTGTGAATTAATATCAAATCATAATAATTAATTTGATAGAGCAATATATATATTTATATATATTATACCCATATAACATATGACTTGACAACAATGATATATAAGATAATTAAAGTAAGTTATATAAATTTCCATTGTCTTGCATTCCATCTGTCTATTTAGATTGAATGTGCTCACACACACACACATATACACACAGTCAGGTACTGTGTTTAATACGTATGGATACATTAAGCATTCCCCACTGACATATTTACCCGATTGGCATAGTATCGACACCCACATGGAGATCGAATTGAGTCTGTACGGATTTGTATGCACAATTTGGCTTTGTGCTCGGCTTTGCTTTAATGAGCACAGAGCGCAAAGCGCACAAATTAATTGAAATAATAAGCGAGATCTGTCGAGGAGGGCAGAGGCACACGCGATCTGACTGGAATCGCGCATTGATTTCATATGAAATTCTCCTTTGTTCCGACATTCAGGTGGGTGCAAAGAGAGCGAGTGAGAGAGTGGGGGGGAGGGGAAACCTTTGCATTTATCAATTTGTGGGGTCCTCATACCTACACGTACTCCACATGTGTCTTGCTCATGTATCTGTATCTTTAGCTGCGACTGCGACTCTGTATCTGACTCTGACTGTTGCTGTGCGTTTTTATTGCGTTTATCTAGCAATCTAAAGCCAATTTAATAAGCAGCTTGCCCGCAAAGTTGAGCTGTCAGTGGTAACATGATTAATCAGCGCACAGACAATTGAAGATGCCCGACAAGGCGCGCGAGATGGCAGCGCAGTGCAGTGCAACAGAGATGGAGATGCTCTCGGTACTTGACGCCCACGTGGAGGGAGCTTGGAGTTTAAGCTGGGCAATGATGGATGCCAGGTCGAGGCATGTGGCGAGCGTTGAGTGGGCTTTGCGTTGCTCTCTCTGGGCTTACATGAGGTCTCCTGCGTTTAGTCAATGCAGCTAAAGAAGTTGGCTAACAAATGAACTGGTTTACCACTACTCTCTCTCTCTCTCTCTCCCTGTCTCTCTCTCTGTCTTACTCTATCTATCCATGGCTAGCTCATAAATAAATGAGCCTCATAAAAATCAAACGATTTATAATTTCAAATGGGCACACAACGACAACAATTTTATCGCCCCAATCAAAACAACATGACGCTACAAAATATGAAGAGAGATAGAGATAGAGACAGAGAGAGAGAGGGAGAGAGAAAGAGTAGAAAATGAAATGCAGTCAACAATTGAAATTATTATTTTTATTTTTAAACAATTTTCAAGCAGACAACACTAACAACAACAACAACAACAACAGCAGCAACAACAACAAACGTCTCGCATTTGCTTGACATGTTTGTTTCGTGTACAAAATATTTTGATAATAATCACACGGGCCATAACAACAAAAAGCAATTGAGTCAGTCGGTCTCTCCACAGTCCGTCTGTCCACAGAGACGGGCTCACACTTATCGGCTTTGCATTCTCATCTAAATGAAATTATTGTCTCTTGGCTATGTGAGGCACATAAAACTCTTTATCACATATCTATGTATTTTATATCGATTCTTTAATAACCTAACTGTTAGCTGACGTGTGGAGTTTACCCAAAGAAACACCACAGATTTATTGACAATTGTTGGAGAAAATTTTCAATTTGTCGTTTGACGTTGCAGGGCACGTACTGGGCGAATGTTAATAATCGTATAAAATGCTTGCGATTGCAGTAAATATCGAATACTCGAAAATTCCATTGCACATTGTCTAACGCTGGCATTGAATTGCTGATGGGCAAAGCATGGACTTGAAGAGGGTAGCGATAACTCTGAAGGGCAATTGGAGATAGTTTATGATGGAAGAGGTAACAGTTAGCTTAGAGATGTGGTAACTGTTTGGTTAATTGAGGTTAGCTGAGTCTGGTATCTACTTTATTACAGTAAAATGAAATTTAAATCATACAAAAAAAAAAAAAAAAAAAAAAAAAAAAACAAAGCATATATATTTCTAATATCATTTAAAAGGAATTTATTTCAAATATAATTAACTGCTTGTAAATGAAATGTTAAGAATTTTACGAAGATGCTATAGCCCCTCTATGTGCCGAGAACGACGGACCTATTCATACGCAAAGATTGCTGTACAGGCTGTTTTCTTTATAAAGCATATGTATATACATATCTATATGGACACACATCTATATCCATTATTTTATAGCGTCTGCTACGCCAACGACTACTGCTTATATATATTTTATCAAAAATCACCCTGAAATCCTCTTTTTCAATTGGGCTTAGAGCATAAAAATACACGCAATAAAGTTAGCAACAATTGAGGTCAGTATCTGTCATTCTAAGAAAATTACGTAGACAAAGTTCCATCATACCAAAATAGAGCATAAAATTGCTAATAAAAATCGATACGCTATTTTGGCACGATAGTCAAAAAATACGAAAAATACTAATAAGAGTTTATCACTCATTGTTCAACACTAAACTTGACATTTTCGCATTTCGTGTTTAACAAATCAAAGCAGGCCTTGAAATTGGAAACCCGTGGCAAAAATGCTATAAATAAGAGAACTTCGAGCAGGATAATTCATTAGTTCTCAATTGCTACGAGAAGTCGGTTGTGTTTACAAATCTCTGAAAAAAATCTGTGCAGCAAAGAAAATTGAAATTTAGAACGAATAACAAAATAGTGAAATTCGGGAAGCAAATTTATTTTATTTTTTTTTTTTTTCATTGTCTTTTCAAGTCTCTGGCAAAGTAATTGCAGCGCGATTTTGACAAATTCGAATTCAGCAAATTTTTTATTGAATCTCAAAGCCTAAATAGTGAGTGCAATGAAGGTTTTTTTCTTGAATTTCAAATTTTTTATTTTTTTTTTATTTTTTTATTTTATTTTATTTTATTTATTTTTTTTTTTTTATTAGTCATACCAAGATGCTACGCTGCGGCCCTCAACTCGACTCAGATGATGATATGCTGGGAGCTGATTTTTCCGACTTTGAGGATGGAGACGACTCTGATTTTGATGACATTGGTATGCATGATTTTCCGTTCCTGGTAAATAGCCCTGAGGAGACCATGCGGCGCTTGCGCATCTACGCCCGTTATCCGAACAACGGGATGCCGGAGACTCGCTTGAAGCACGAGCTGGCCCAGATCAGGCAGGGTCCCGTGGAAGGCTGCCGTGTGGATGTGTTGGATGACAATCTGTTCGAGTGGGCTGCCTCGTTGAAGGGTCCGGTGAACACGCCCTATGAGGGCGGCGTCTTTGACATACACATCTCGTTTCCTAACGAGTATCCGTTCGAGCCGCCGACCCTGAAGTTCGTGACGAAGATCTATCATTGCAACGTGTACGGCAGTCTCGTCTGCACCGAGAGATGGACGCCCGTCATAACGGTGGCCAAGCTGATGGTCTCCATTCTCTATATGATGGCGACGCCCGATCCGATGGATCCGCTAAATCCGGCTATCGCCAAACTCTACATCTCTCATCGCAGCGAGCACGACAAGATCGCACGCCAGTGGACCCGTCGCTTTGCCATGCCGAACTCTGAGAAGGATGGACAGTAGGGAGAGCAGGATGAAAGAAGCCAGATTGTGTGGTTTTTCAAAAACATTTTATTATTTGATTTTGTTGTGCCAGCACTTTTTGGTGTTTAGAAACGATATATAGACACATAATACGCTAGCTACATTTACATATACATTTACACTTACACTTACACTTACAATTACTACTACTACAATTACTATAAAAAGAGCACACACACATAGAGAGATGCGCATCGAATTAATGTTGACCGACTACAGATACACTAAAAACTAAAATTTATGGCTAAGGGTGAACTATACAGAAACTAGGCGACAATGACACGTGGCGATTAATGTTCTCCTCCTACAACTTAAATTGTTAAACACACCAATACATATAAATGTATACATACATTGGATCCATGTGTGTATGAATAAATATATACTATATGCACTTTAATACACGGGACTCCGATGGCAGGCATTGCATCTGCTGGGAGTGTGGTTGGAGCGAGCGAGGGAGGGGGTAAAGTATTGAATGCGATAAACGAGTTAACATTAGTTAGGATCGTGCTTAGATATAAGATTTGCATTAATATGTAGTTAAGCAGGTGGAAATTTCATTTACTTAGCATTAAACTAGAAGCGAGTGAGAAAGAGATATATATCTATCTCTATTTCTCTCTCGCTCTTGAGTGCAAAAAGCTCGTTATATTATGTATATGTATATATTCAGGTTTCGTATTTAATATTTAATAGTAACACCATTTAACTATACGAATTTCTCTTAGTAGCTTAACTAAAGTCCTTTGGATTGTGATATAGTTGAATTTGTAGGCCGCGAGAGAAAGACAGAGAGAGAGAGACATGGGGAGTGGAGTCTCTACTCTGTTCGGCTGCTCTCCCTCACTTGTTCTTCGGCAGGTGTCGCTTCATGTGGAGCGCCAGGTGATCGCTGCGCGCAAAGCTGCGCTCGCAGACGATGCACTTGAAGGGCTTGGCGCCAGTGTGTTTGCGGTAGTGTCTCGTCAGCTCGTCGGAGCGTGCGAAGCGCCATTCGCACTCGGGCCACTGGCACGTATACGGCTTTTCACCTGCAAGCAGAGAAGCAGAAGGGGGAAACACAGTTAGCCATGATTTTTACAGAACAAAATTGACAAATGGAATGACAAATGCTTCAAGTGAAGCAAATGTCAGCAGGAGCAGCCGCAGCTTCTTGTCGCGCCTGCTGCATGTATGCGCAAATTAACATTTTCATTGGCTTTTCATGTTAGTTGGAGAACAATCACAACACGACAACAGCAACAACAACAACAACAACAGCAACATCTATAACAACAAGCAAACAGCAGCTGGTAAGTCAATTCGCAGTTCGAGTCACTCAGCGTCGCGTATTTTATGATTTGGATTTTTAGCTCTGGCACACGACTTGCCGCTGCTGACGACGATGGCCCAACAACAACAGTAACAACAACAACAACAACAGCAATAACAATAACAAGAGACAACACGACGACATTTGGCGAGTCGAGCTACAAAATTGTAAACGAAATTGCGACCGGCCGGTGCCCAAATGTTTCTCCGCTGGCTTCGCTGCTCTATGACTAATTCACTGCGAGCGGGCAGCCGGCTGTGAGCAGAGCATTACAACTCAACGGCAACAACAACAACAACAACAGCAGCAATATCAACATAAACATAAACATTCGTGTTCGAATTGAAATTGAATGAAATAATTATTGCGCTGCTTTAAATTTTGTGAACTTGACATTTTATGGCATTATTCAGGCATTGTCCCAGCTGGACCCCAACGAACTGTAGCGAATTCGCATTGCCCATTCGCTATGCATGGCTCGAAGTAAGCGAATTCGCTGTGCGCGTAATTCAAATTTTTGCCATTCGAGGCAGCGCGACGCGACGCGAGGCTCAAGCTCAGCTCAACAATTCGACAATTCGGCAATTCGGCAATTCGAAAATTCTCGTGCAACAACAGCTTCACACTTCAGCTCAAATAACTCGCACTTCTAAGCTCATCTAAGCCGCTGAGACCCTTTTCACTGCCAGCAATAGGCATAATACAAATTATATACTGAGCTCAATGAAAATGCAAAGGCAGGGTATGTAGGTTTAGTTGAAGTGTATGCAACAGGCAGAAGGAGGCGTGGCAGAACTCAATAAATTGTATATATTTTTGATGAGCACGAACAGCTGAGTCGATAAAGCTCTGTCTGTCTGTCCGCATGTGTGAACAAGTGGGTCTCAGCACCTTTATTATACAAAATTTTATCTATTACGTCTTTAGATCTAGATCATAGAACTTTACACCAGGAGCCACCAAATTTTCTATATAGATGCATGTTATAAAATGTTGCTTTGTGTTATAATGGAATATCGTCTCAATAGTTTTCAGATTCTGTTAATTGAAGGTCAGTTGTCAATATCATAAGCATGTTGTCTTAAACTTTTTCTAAAGTGACAAAGATTTACGAGAATATGTAGATTATATTCAGAATTATTGATTGGAATTCGCTAAGTAATAGAGACGTTCCTAAGCAAAAGCCTTAGCCATGAGCCTCCCTATTCGTATGCACGTATATTCTATTTTTACAGTGCTTAGGGTATCTCCAAGTCGGGCAGCTACAACTAGAGCTTTCTTGCTTGTTGTTGTTTCTTTACAGCATTTTCGGTTGAAAATGCCTCTTCAGCGTCGCGCTGAAGCTCGAGAAGTGGCACTCAGCTGACACTTTTGTGGGATTTAGATTTTGGCATAGAGAAACTCAATATGAGCGACGGACTCGTGGCGTGACTTATTGGTTTATTTAGATCTCTTTTAATGAACTTAAGTGCCTCGAGATGACTGAACATATAATCAAAAAAAAAAAAAAAAAAGAAACTTTACCTATCGACACTTGCAGGCACACACATACATACGCGCTATCTCGCTCACTCTCACTCCCTCATGTAAGAAGCTTTGTTTGGTTTTACGAAAACATTGATAAATGGCTGCTGGGTGAGTCATGGCACAGCAACTGCCCAAACAGAATCTCGTAAACAACAACAACAACAAATACAGATCGCGCACTCGTGGGAATATCATTTGGCAATGGCGAAAAATTGAAATCGCTCGTAACTAAAACAAAGATCAGCATCGATGCCGGAGCCAGGGGCCCGCGCCCAGGCCCCGTGGCCGGAGCAAACAACAAACAAAGTTATGTAAATGTAGTTTTGTAATGTGCGATGAACGCAATGCGATAAAGCCGACGAAATTACTTCATAATTTTAGCGTATGGCGCGATAAGCTCAACATGCAACTAACTATAGATATAAGCACAGACATACATATATATATTTGTGTGTGTGTGTGTGTGTGTATGGAGTCAATCGGAGTCGCATATAAATTAAGGCAACGGCCGGCCGCAACTAGCTAGAAGACATGTCTAGCCGCAGGCCTGGCCAGCGGCCTGGGCAACTCCTACTCTCGCCGGGGCATAAAAATCAAACTAATTTATGGCAACGCAAACGTATTAGCAAACAAATCAGTACAAAATAAGCCCAGCCGGTGGGCAAACAGCGTCCAGTCTTTCGGTCTTTCTGTCTTCCAGCCTTTGGGTCTCCCAGTCTCCCAGTCTTCCAGTCGCCCAGGTAGATATGTAAAAATTTATGCGTTCGCTCGCTGCATAAAGATTAGTTACTGGCTGATTTTCTAATCGCCGCCAAGCCGATAAGGACAAAAAGCCCAAATAAAAACGACAAATTTACGAGCTGGCAAACAAAAGACTTAGGCAACGAACTTGCCCAAGAAGTGTCCCCTGCCCATGTGCCGAGCCAAATGCTCGATGTGTCCAGCCTTGGCACTTGAGCTGCAGCCCAGCTAATCAGCTAAGACAACACTCAACTTGGGGTCTGGCGCCACGAGATGCCGCAGCTTCAAAATTGCATGAAAAATGCGACTGTGCCGGGCCTAGCTGTATGTCTGTGTGTGTGTGTGTTTGTGTGTTTGTGTATTTGTGGCTGGGCGTGTGACGAAGTTAACCAAGTCAAAAGCCAAACAAACGGACAGCCATCAGACGGTAGCCACAAATGGTGGCTGCCACTCGAAAAGTGCTGCCAAATTGCTGGCCAAGAGATTTGAGCCAAATGGCCAAAGACGTGGCCATTAGGCCATTGATTCGTCTGGCATTCGTTCGTGCTGGCCCACAGGCGGGCGTCAGGCAATTAAATCTGTTAACCAGATCTATAGCTGCCATTGACAAGGCTTACATAAGATGGTGAGAGAGAGGGCGCAAGAGAGAAAGAGAGAGTGGATGAAAGAGTTTAACTATGTGAGTGGGTGTTAGCTATAAGATTTCTATTTAGAATATGATTAATAAAGGGGAAGAAGAACTCTATTTTTTTTAGAGTATTCAATCTGAGCTGAAACTCTTTTAGAGTTATTTCAGCACATATAAATATATTATATAAATTGCCTTAAACCTTCTCATACTAGATCTGTATTGCATATATATTTTATGCATATCAAATTGACATTTATAATAAAAATAAAATATATATGCAACGAGCAAAAGCTATTTTCATATATCTTGAAATGACTTTGAAACGTTTTTAGCCTTATATAAACCTCAGTCGTTGAGAATTTACAGCTTCACCTTGACTCTGAGTACTTGTCGTCGGGCTTATCAAATGCCGTGTTGTGTTTCTTTAGCGGGGCGTTAAGTTTATCAGTTAAGTGAAAATCAGCGCAAAAGGAAAAAAAAAAAAGGCAAAAAAAAGCAAAAAGTACAAAATCATAATAATAAAAATGTTTTTTAGTGCAGCGCATAAATCAGCTGGTCATGTGCGATTAATAAAAATTAAAACACTGAAGGAGAACTGCGGTCGGGACTTTGAGAGACTCTTTTCGGTTTGGGGCTGCGGCTGGGGCTGGGGCTGGGTCGAGAGTTGAAAGTCGCGAATGAGGGGCATAAAACGTGTGGCCCATAAAACGCAGAGGCAGGTGATCAACCGGCAACGACCCACCAAACAAAAAAAGCAGATAGTCTACAGCTGGAGCCCGGAAAAAAGGCCAGAAAAAAAGACAAAAAAGACAAAAATAACGTCAAGTGTAATCTGAGCAAGAAGGAAATGCAGGCCAAACGTGCGCCCAGCTGATGGCGTTGGCGATTGGCGATTGTTGATGTTGCTGATGTTGCAACTGACCACAAAAAAACAAAAAAAGCAAAACCGAAACCGTAGAAATCACGATTTCTGTGGTTGCTGCGCCGAAATTGAAAAACAAAAACCAAAAAAAAAAAAATAAAACTAAGCCGCTCCGAGCTCTTGGCAAATTATGTGCTGGCAACTACAAATATGAGCGCGCGAATTAATCAAAAGCCTTTTTTTGCGCCGCTCGCTTGCTCAACAAGCGCAGCACAGCTGCCGCTGCATTGGCTCATCGTGGTGGTGCTAGCGGTGCTGGTGGTGCTTTGGTAATAAGCCCGACCTACGCCTACAACGGATGCGGAGCAGCCAGCGATGTGTATGACAGCGGACAAGCCTAGCGGCGCCTCATAACTAACTAATGCCAGCTGGTGCAGTGGTGCAGCGGTGCCGTGGTGCACTGGGCGGTGGGTGGATCTGTGAGCCAGTTAACTATCAATAACAACTTACCCGTGTGTATCCTTTGATGCGCCTTCAAGTGCGAGCTCTTCGTATAAACCTTGGAACAACCTGCAATAGCCAAAGAAAAAAAGAAAGTTTTATTGCATAAGCAGAGGCAGGCAAAAGGAGTGAATATCTAGGCATATACAAATATATTATTATAATCTGTGAGGCGTGTGGAGCTGCATGAATGAGCAGATGAAAGTTAGATGTCTGATAGCTATGATATATGGGGGAGATAGGTATAGTTATATATGTATAATGTGTATAATAATCTAGCAGGAGTGGGCTAAGCAGATAATGGATAACAAGTAGACCGTTTTAAAGGGAGGAAAAGGCAGCAGAATGAGACCCTATGGATCGTAAAGCTTTAAAAGCTCGAGCTTATGGCTCATTATCAAATTGTAGCAAGTCCATTAGTGCAAATATAAATACAGTCGAGTCTCGATAGTTCGTATTCCGATCAATCGAAAATCACGATAAATCGAAACCAAATGCTATCCCCTTGAAAGAAATTCGTTCTCAATAATTCTCGATAGTTTGAATTTCTGTGTAAATCGAAAAAACTGAGTTTTTCGATCATGCCATTTCGAATTAACGGGCTTCTATTCAATTAATATAATATATTTTATATATGTATATACAGTTGTAGTATGTATATACATATATGAATAATAAAGACAAACTGTTTTTAAGGCGCGAATCAGACTCACTATAGCTCATTGAATTGATTGAGCTTAGTGAAGTTTCTGCACGCTTAACTTGAATATAAATATTGATCAAATATGTAAGTATTATACAGTTATATAATATAACTATAATCTCTCTCTCTTTCTCTCTCTAATTTTATCCCTGATCTTCAGCAACAATCTAACATAATTTTTATTATTTTTATAAAGCTAAAAGAAACGATTATCTGCTAAATACACATCTCCTAGATAAATAAATATTAATTTAAAAGCAAGAACAACAACAACAACAACCATGAGTAATTGAGCTATATTTTATGAATTGCTTGTTAGCTTGAGCCATAATTTTAGCAACTGTTTAAATCAAAGCAGCCTCCGCGAGGCATCTGCAATGATCTTGGCCATTAAATTAACAGCTAGCTCAATAGTTGTTAACAATTTT